TTTATGTATGGTAGTTCATCAACTACTCAAATAGGATTTCTGCCTGATATATATAACATAATGGTTAAATTTAATATAGAGTCATTTATCAATGACTATGTTCTAAATATATTCGTACCACCGATGTTATGCTGGAAACGTTTCATTAATAGATTTATATATGATTTTTATTATATAAGGTGGACAGATAAACTAAATACACGTGATGAACATAAGAGATATGCTGCTATCCATAGTGATCCGGGAATAAATCCAATATTGCAACTAAGCACTAAACAAATTTCTCAACAACATGTATGGGATCTAGTAGAGTTATTTAAATACTCAATATCTTGTGAGAATGAATTGGTTATATGTAAGATATGTGAGAAAACAAGTAAAGATATTGTGTTGCATTTTATATTAGAATGTCCAGGTTTATACTTAAGCCGTGATAAAATGATGGATGGTGTTGTAAATGCTATAGAAGTATTGTCATATGTACAGTTTTCAGAACTAAGCATTGAAGACCAGTGCAGCTTTTTACTTGGCGATCAATCACATGTATACTTGACTGATATAGAGTGGGAAACACTAATGATAAATATGGCTGGAAATATCAAAGGAATGGTATGTGAGATGGAGAGTTTTCTATAATTAACCTATTGATGTATATATAAGTGTAAACGTATATATGAAAAAGATGTATGAGGAATATATATTGTAGTGAACATTTTGTATCATGAATTATATAATGCTGTTATATGAATGTCCAATATGTCATTATTTAATACATTTACTTCTCAAAACGATGTTTATATATACATGACACATTTTGTAAAACTGTTTTGACATATGAAATCTCCTAAAGGAGGAAATAAAGAATGTCTGTCTGTCTGTCTGTCTGTCTGTCTGTTTTACATACAATAGTAGGGTCATAATCACATGACCACACAGTACACAAAAATATACAAAAACAAAAAAACAAAAATCGACCTACCTATCCTTGTTTTTTTGCCCATGCAACCCTAAACAGACTATATTTTTCTTTTGGCCTAAGTGTCTGTGACACTTGATCCTATTTCCCTTTGTCTTCTCTGTTCATTGTAATAACATGCTTGAACTGAAATAAAAGAAAGTTTAAACTAATAATAATGATGTCGTATGTAATGTCACGCCATTATTTATTGCTACAGTAATAAGATCTGGTTGAGACAGGTCCTAATTTTAATAAACTGTACTCGTTTCATGGCTATTACACAGGTGTATACTGACCCTGTACTCTGTAACTGTATCGAAAGGCACCATATAGTACACTCTTCGACATTGAACACAGCTCATCCTGTGTCATATCGCTCAATGGAACGTCGTCAGTATTACTTTGGCATTCCTCTTTTTGCTTTTGCTTGGAGGTGTCGATCACACACGACAGTACATGATGTATCCGTTTCATTTCCCCTTTATTAATGATATAGCTAGTGTTTGTAATACAGTTCTGCATATGAAGTTGTATTCTTATCGGTATTGCATGGTTATTATACAATAATAGAGTGAAAATATCTCACAATAAAATTTCGCTATAGTTGGCATCATTATTGGAGACGTCTATCATGTCTCATACCAAGACGGCCTTTTACAAATTAACGTTCCTTAACCTCAACAATACTACAACCTTTAGTAAGCGTTGAACTTAATTGTGATTTGCACCTTGCTGCTTTGTATAGTTATTTTTGTAAGGTACGTATGTATTTGTTTTAGTCTGCTTTTCAGTCAGTTTCGGAATCTCGAACGGAGATCACCTATACTATCAGTGTTCTACATGACAAAAAAAATCAAAGTACTGAAAGTACTCAAGACACATGCTTTCTGAATGTTGCAATATTTCCACAGTTATATACGTGTATATAACATTCTAGGAAAAACGAACGCAAAACAGTCAATTGAGATGAAGGATAAACACCATTTAAATTTCCTGAAAATAATGTGAACGAATATTTACTCTTATCCAGTGGCGGATCCAGAAACCTTTTTAGGGGGGTTTCCAAATTTCCTGGGGGGGTTTCCATGTGGGGAAAAATTGAGGAAAATAGTGAAAATACATGATTTTTAAAGAAAATCTCAGGGTGGGGGGGGTTCCTGAAGCCCAAAAAACCCCTCTGGATCCGCCTCTGTTATCTAATGTCTGTGTTGGCATTAGTCTGAAATGTATTTTCCCTCCGAGGAACAACAAGTACTACTTAAAGAATGTTTGGGCTCTGATTCTGCCATAAATAAAGAGTTGACTTCCGAAGCAATAATTATATGACAGTTGCAATATCTTCTTAGTGCCTATTGGTAGAGGGTGAAACATATATTTCCTACAGACCATCAGCAGTGCACGTGTGTCACAAATGTCTTTAGGTCAGCTAGGATTTTGCCATAGGTCATTTGTCAGTATACACCTCTTCGTATTATTATGATAATGGTAAAGTTCTGATTCCAGGACATACCAATACGAGGCTCGATACCGATGAAGAGGGCCCAATGAACTGTTGCAAAATGCACCAACCAGTTTAGAAAGTGACTAGGTGGGGCGGATATGTGAGGGAGCTACGGCCTCAACTAGAGGGGAGTTCTCCATCAAGGAAAATTTTGAGTTTTTGATGAGATATCATGTATTCCCAGTGTATCTAAAAAACATATGTGATAAAATGGCTTTGCTGGACATTTTTGAATCCATATTGGGCCACAACTATGTGACCTATGTATACGATGTCTGACAATCATGCAGTCCATTTTAATGATCACGTGCTAAATCTTTATTGCAGATGATATATCTTCAGTTCCAATCCAGCTATTTTTGATAATTGCAGCCTCTTTGGATTTATTCACATCTTCCAAATCTTCCTGTGCTGCCTGAAATACAAGAAAGAATACATCATTTAATGTTTTGGTTGTTTTTATTGTTACAAAGTTTATTATTTTATGTACTATTTAACAGATGATGCCCAAAATATTACCTCTGTTAAAAACATATTATTACCTGACCACATGCAATATTTGAAATGTATTTGGCAAGTGCAATGTCCTGCATTGCACCACAGAAGTCCGAAATTCCGTCAGAAATAAATAATACCAGCACGGTGGAACCCGCTTATTATGATATTCTATTTCCCAGATATTTATACAAATTGATGAAGTAATAATTGAAACCATTTGTTAATTTTCATTCATATCAGCTTCTTGAAAAAATTCGAGAAGATTTCATTTTGTCGTCGTAATGATCAGTATATAAATTCTACTTTCACTTTCAAATAACTTCGAGCAAGAACTATAAGAACTACATGTATCGTTATACTTCATCCTAGCTAACGATATCGTAATGTAACAGTCAATAAGATGAAAGAAGTGATATAAATAGTCATGATTTACCTATTTTGCACCAAGAAGTTGCGTTACATTTTGGCTCATAAGCGTCACAATATTTCGCGCTATGTAAATTACGATCACGTGGCAATCACATGCCTCGCAAGTCGTGCGGTTAAATCAAATTGAATAGAAACAATAACAACTTAACCCCCCCCCTTTTTTTAACAATAATCAAATATTATTTTCAACGAAAATGGTGTATATTGTAAATAAAGCAGTAGTCGTCAGTTGTTTACGACAATAACGTTTACCTTGGATCGATTTCCGGCACCATGTTGTTTGGACGGCATTAACCCGATTTTATGTAGGATGGGTTGTCAATAAATATACATGATTTATTTAATTATCAATTTCTAAAACATAAACAGAAAATGATTAAACAAAAGTTGAAAATGTTCATTTCACAAGCTAAATTGGAGTTATCTCCCCTGCACTGTTTAATTGGATTGTTATGACAGAATATATGTGATGTTTGTAAATAAGTTTGGAAAGGACTTAAATAGGCCCAGCCTGATGTCCAATCCAATTGAAGATTGTAGACACGGGGAAATCAACTTGTAATGCAATAGAGAAACCATTGCTTAAATGATTAAAAACACACGTCTTCCTTCTGGAGTATTATTTTCATTGAATCGGCATGATTTCCTCACATGACGAGTCAAGGCAACCGTTAATATTAATGGAAGGCATTCTCGTTTTCTTATCAGAATTTGTGTCAGAAAATGTCGGTAGGTTAGTGGAGCCATGCAAGAGATGATTTTAATCAGATTGGCCCAATCGTTTCCATTTCATACATAGTCCTACAGTGTAATTTAAATAGCATTTGACTACCGCACATGTAAAGGTTATTGCATGGTTTTCGAGTAACAAGGGATTTATTACACCCGAGCGAAGCGAGGTTGTAATAAGTCCCGAGTGACGAGAAATCATGCAATAACTGGCTTACTGCATGCTTCCCAACTCAAACAAAACAGAAAAGTTGAGTAAAAAATGTTCACCTGGACAATCTTTTTACCTACCCTACACTGCAAATAATTTACATGTACCTATGTGAGTGAATACTAATCATAACCAGGTAAGATTCTCAATAGCCCAGTCTGAGTGTATCCTTCATAATGGATACAAGTGTTTTTGGATTACTATCCAGGTCCAGTGTCAGGGAAGGTAAGGAGTGTCTGTTCAAAATACGGGAAACAATGTTGAATTTCTGACTACATTTTCAGTTTAATTTTCAAGATGTGGCAAAGGTACAGGATATTGAAACCATTTTCATATATACAATGTAAGGGTTTATCAATCCCTAAGGAATTCCAGTTCTTTCAATGAATGGTATATTTGAATGTGCAATTTTGTATAAAGGAACAGCTCCTTAAGATTATAAACGTTTCCGGGAAATGCTTATCCTCTCACGTGATAAGGAAATCTGTTTGTGTTTTTCAATCATGAAATTACCATTTTTAACTTTCATTTTTTCCCCTTATTTGAAATGTGTCAACTAAGTTTATCCTCTACTGTATTGACTTCATCGTTACTCACTGATTGATTATCTCCCCTTTCTTACAGCATTTGTGGCCACAGTCCACTGGGCACACCCCCTTTCATGGTCATGTAATCATGATTGGCCTTGAAAAGGGATTATGTGTGCAGTGGACTGTGGTAGCAAGTGATTTATTGCCCACACTTTTCCATTGTGAGAGGTGGGAAGTATGCAGTAAGTTTTGTTATGACTAGAAAGCTGCTCGATTTATTGTTCTCCACCGACGGGGTGAAGCGAGGTGTGAACCTTTTACCTGGAGTGGACAGTTGATCACCTCGGGCGATGTACAGTTAGCCCGACCTCTTGTTCAAATTGACCTGGTGTCAAACACGGACAACTTACCTGAGTTTTTACGTTATAAAATCCATTCGCGGCAGAAAAAATATATTGTAATAACGGGGTCCGACCTTTGACCATATCATAATAAACGATTTGTTTGCTTAGTTATAGGATAAAATCGGTACATGGGAAAAGATTTATAATAAGCGACATCATAATAAGTAGGTTCAACTCTTGTACAAAAAACTCCTATTATATAGCAAAGATATATTTTCACAACATAAAACAGTAAATATAGAAACACTGCGTTATTAAATTGAATAAATGTGTTACAAGTTTGTAACAAACATGTCTTTCAATCCCTGTCTTGAGCACACCATATCATGTTTCATTAGTACTGACAAAATATCTTGTGATGTTCATGTTTGATAGAGTAAATATCGCACTTCATCTTTTGCCGTTCATTACCTGTAAACAATTCATGGGTATTATCAAATATTATGTGTATTGCCAAAGACGTATATATTACAATATGAGTGAGTCTAATTTTACATCTGAGGGAGATAAAGCTTTGTGCTAACTCACAGATATGGTTCGACCCTACAAATAGACCGACTTTATTCAAATCCGGCTGATCAGGTTAGTCCAATGTTCTACTAAGGGAGATAAGGTTTTGCAGAAATACAGGTAAACCGCGGCGGTAGCCCTCGGCCACATCCAGCCAGCTCGGTTGCCTGCTGTTTGACAAGTAGCTAAAGTTATCAAAGCATGGTTAGCTTTACAGTTCTTTTGTGTAAATGTATTGGTCCTGTCGATTTATTCTATGACTATACTGAAATGGACAGAACACGCTGGAGAGAGTTTCTTAATTCTGCCGGAAAGAATAGTCATATTCAAGTGGTCAGTGGTATAATTTCAGGCTTATTTGTAGTGGTACTATTTGTGATATAAAGCAAATCGTTAGCGACCCAAACATTGTGACGGGATCTGTGTACTGTAGTTAGATAGGAACACTTAGTAAGTCTGTCAGAGGAAACCATCCGCTTCGGGGAAGAGTGCGGGAGCCACAATTGCAGCAAGCACAGCATCGTCAGAAAATTAATCAAAATATTTTTATTACTTGTATACTCACAAAATATATGCATTGTTGTATTTTTCACACACATATGGCTAGTTAAGAAAATATCGAAGTGAATGCTTTCTCTGCCTATAAGTTGGTGAACCACAAAATGGCGTCACTACGGTATGAATGAAAATGCTAGGGGTCGCTGCCAAAAACATTTGCATATGAATGAAATGTGAATGAATGACATCCTTATAAGGAGATATCAGCTGCCATATAAGGACAGAAACACTATATATATAGTCAAAGACGGCGTATGCATCGATAGTGCAGTTCCACATTAAGCAAATTTCGTAGCATGCGCGATCCCTTAGACACTTGCGTTACCTAACGCATGTGTAAAAAAAATAATCATTTTCATCAATTTTCAGGAAACAGCGGAAAAATAGAAAATAATTATAGATTATCGAACTGTATTTTCAGTTGGCGTTGGCCTCTCGATTTTATCCACGTGCTCATGATGAGAAAATTGTTCTCACGACAAACGCTGAAAATGCTGTAAGATAAACTATTTATCATTTATATACTAATACATTTTTCAGTTAAAAAAACTTAACTAAACACCATGTGGTCAACGATCGCCTGTGCCATACGTAAACAAATAGAAGTTTTGCGCGGAGGAATACAATGAACCTGAAAACAACGCAGAACAAATATTTTAAAAATAATCTTATCATCATTGGCTTTTCCATATGAACATTTACACCTGAAATGGTGTTGTAACTCTCACAATATGTTCCCGTAACTTTGTATTGACATGTTTATGACGGACTATTTTCTTATTGGGATCATTTGTGTGGACACTATTTCCAGTTTCGAACGTCATCTAGTGCGAGCAGACGTTATTTTTTGAGAAAATACGTTCCCAAGTGCAGAGGAATCAGAAAATCCGTTTTCAAGTTCCTCTCAAGTGGTTAAAAAAATAAATAATTGTTAATAATTAATGTTATTGTTTATTACAATTAAAGCCACACGTTACGAATTGGAAATGGTTATAGAATCCTGCCCCCACCAACAAGAAAGAATGCTACACACTGATCTAAAAACATACCTCACTATAGATTTTACGTTTAAAGAACCTCTAACAAAACCATACTACATGTATTTGAAATATGTAAATCAGTTAAATCCGACAAATCAAATAATTAAAGGGGCAAAAACCTCAAGCACATATACGCAGCAAAAACCGGAAGCAGATTAATTCCTAAGCTACACAAATACATCATTTGTCAATACTAAATAGTTCGTTATAAAAGGGTAGCTATAACGACATCGACATACTCGGTACCAGCGTAGTTGTCGCAGTAGTAGTTGTAGTAGGCGTGGTTGTTGTAGTAGGCGTGGTCGTTGTAGTGGGCGTGGTCGTTGTAGTGAGCGTGGTCGTTGTTGTAGGCGAAGTTGTCGTTGTCGGTGTTGTCGTTGTCGGTGTAGTCGTTGTTGTGTGCGTGGTCGTTGTTGTAGGTGTGGTTGTCGTTGTTGGTGGTGTGGTCGTTGTTGGTGGTGTGGTCGTTGTTGTCGGTCTTGTCGTTGTTATAGGCGTGGTTGTTGTCGTTTTTGTGGGCGTGGTCGTCGTTGTTGTTGGCTTAGTTGTTGTCGTTGTTGTTGGTGTGGTTGTTGTTGTTGTAGGCGTTGTCGTTGTTGTCGGCGTGGTTGTCGTTATTGCTGTTGTCGTTGTTGTTGGCGTGGTTGTTGTTGTAGGCGTGTTTGTTGTTGTTTCTCCTGTTGAAATTGTTGTTGTAGGAGCGGTCGTAGTTGTTACTGTAATTGTTGTCGGTGATGTAAAAGACACGGTTGAATTTTGAATTATTTGTGCTGCTAAGCAGAAGTTAGATTTGAATTTTTGAGTAAAAATAGAAGCAGACAAGGAATGATGAAAGCACTGCAAACGAATGCGTATTCTGAATTTTAAATGTAAACAAGCGGTTTAAGCAAACAAACTGAAATTACACCTGATCAAAAGCAACAATTATGCATACCCGAACAGGGTATCTTACATGGAGTGGTGTGTCTGGGAGTTGTAGGTATAGTCGTAGTTGTGGGCGTGGTCGTGGTCGTTGCTTTTGGGATAGTTGTAGTTGTGGGCGTGGTCGTTGTTGTGGGAGTGGTTGTTATTGTTTTTGGAATGACAGTTGGTCTGGTAGCTGTTTATAAAATGTGAACATTAAAATTAGACATTTATCATTTAGAAACAGACCTAGAACCGAACGAGACTTCAGGCCTTCCCACCCTCGAAATACATGTATCGAGACGTGTATATAGTAAGCATATTAAACATTAACAATGTTTTATTCCATAGGAACATGCTTGTCCTTCCTTATTCTTAAATTTAATTTCATCTTTAATTGACTTTTTAACATGCTGTACTTTAAAAGCCAGTGTGAAGGAGCGATGTCTACGGAAAACATATCAATAGAAGAAGATTCAATGGTCAAGATTGTAAGAACGTGTTTTATTACAATTTAAGCTACATGTTACGAATTGGAAATGGTTATAGAATCCGGCCCCCACCAAAAAGAAAGAAAAGAAAGAATGCTAGACACTGATCTAAAAGCATAATTCACTAAAGCTTTTACGTTTGAAGAACCTCTAACAAAACCATACTACATGTATTTGAAATATGTAAATCAGTTAAATCCGACAAATCAAATAATTAAGGGCAAAAACTTCAAGCACACATACGCAGCAAAAACCGGAAGCAGATTAATACCTCAGCTACACAAATACATCATTTGTCAATACTAAATAATTCGTTATAAAAGGTTAGTTATAACGACATCGACATACTCGGTACCAGCGTAGTTGTCGCAGTAGTAGTTGTAGTAGGTGTGGTCGTTGTAATGGGTGTGGTCGTTGTTGTAGGCAAAGTTGTCGGTGTTGTCGTTGTTGTGGGCGTGGTCGTTGTTGTAGGCAACGTTGTCGGTGTTGTCGTTGTATAAGGCGTGGTCGTTGTTGTGGGTGTGGTCGTTGTTGTGGGTGTGGTCGTTGTTGTGGGTGTGGTCGTTGTTGTAGGTGTGGTTGTCGTTGTTGTTGGTGTTGTCGTTGTTGTGGGCGTAGTTGTTGTCGTTGAGGTTGTCGTGGTTGTTGTTGTTGTTGCTGCTGTTGTAATTGTTGTTGTAGGAGCGGTCGTAGTTGTTACTGTAATTGTTGTCGGTGATGAAAAAAAGACACGGTTGAATTTTGAATTATTTTTGCTGCTAAGCAGAATTTAGATTTGCATTTTTGAGTAAAAATAGAAGCAGACAAGGAATTATGAAAGCACTGCAAACGAATGCGTATTTTGAATTTTAAATGTAAACCAGCCGGTTAAGTAAACAACCTGAAATTACACCTGATCACAAGCAACAATTATGCATATCTGAACAGGGTATCTTACATGGAGTGGTGGGTCTGGGAGTTGTAGGTATAGTCGTAGTTGAGGTCGTGGTCGTGGTCGTTGGGATGGTTGTAGTTGTGGGCGTGGTCGTGGTCGTTGGGATGGTTGAAGTTGTGGTCGTGGTCGCTGTTGTTGGGATGGTTGTAGTTGTGGGCGTGGTCGTTGTTGTTGGAATGGTTGTAGTTGTGGGCGTGGTAGTGGTCGTTGGGATGGTTGTAGTGTTGGACGTGTTCGTGGTTGTTGGGGTGGTTTTAGTTGTGGGCGTGGTCGTTGTTGTTGGAATGGTTGTAGTTGTGGGCGTGGTCGTTGTTGTTGGGATGGTTGTAGTTGTGGGCGGGGTCGTTGTTGTTGGGATGGTTGTAGTTGTGGGCGTGGTAGTGGTCGTTGGGATGGTTGTAGTTGTGGTCGTGGTCGTGGTCGTTGGGATGGTTGTAGTGTTGGACGTGTTCGTGGTTGTTGGGATGGTTGTAGTGTTGGACGTGTTCATGGTTGTTGGGATGGTTGTAGTGTTGGACGTGTTGGTGGTTGTTGGGGTGGTTTTAGTTGTGGGCGTGGTCGTGGTTGTTGGAATGGTTGTAGTTGTGGGCGTGGTAGTGGTTGTTGGGATGGTTGTAGTTGTGGTCGTGGGGGTGGTTGTAGTGTTGGACGTGTTCGTGGTCGTTGGGATGGTTGTAGTGTTGGACGTGTTCGTGGTTGTTGGGATGGTTGTAGTGTTGGACGCGTTCGTGGTTGTTGGGATGGTTTTAGTTGTGGTCGTGGTCGTTGTTGTTGGAATGGTTGTAGTTGTGGGCGTGGTCGTTGTCGTTGTTGTGGGCCTGGTTGTAATTGTTGTTGGAATGACAGCTGTGGCTAGTCTGGTAGCTGTTTATAAAATGTGAACATTAAAATTAGACATTTATCATTTAGAAACAGACCTAGAACTGAACGAGACTTCAGGCCTTCCCACCCTCAAAATACATGTATCGAGACGTGTATATAGTAAGATATAAAACATTAACAATGTTCTATTCCATAGGAATACACTTGTCCTACCTTATTATTAAAATACATTTAATCTTTATTTATCTTTTTAACATGCTGTACTTTAAAAGCCAGTGTTAAGGAGCGATGTCCGGGGGAATATATATCAATAGAACAAGATCCAATGGTCAAGATTCAAAGAACGTGATTTATTACAATTCAAGCTACACGTTAAGAATTGGAAATGGTTATAGAATCCTGCCCCCCCCCCCTAAAAAAAGAAAGAAAAGAAAGAATGCTACACACTGATCTAAAGACATAATTCACTCAAGCTTTTACGTGTAAAGAACCTCTAACAAAACCATACTACATGTATTTGAATATGTAAATCAGTTAAATCCGACAAATCAAATAATTAAAGAGGCAAAAATCTCAAGCACACATACGCAGCAAAAACCAGAAGCAGATTAATTCCTAAGTTACACAAATACATCATTTGTCAATACTAAATAATTCGTTATAAAAGGTTAGTTATAACGACATCGACATACTCGGTACCAGCGTAGTTGTCGCAGTAGTAGTTGTAGTAGGCGTGGTCGTTGTAGTGGGTGTGGTCGTTGTTGTAGGCGAAGTTGTCGTTGGTGTAGTCGTTGTTGTGGGCGTTGGCGTTGTTGTCGGCGTGGGCGTTGTTGTGGGTGTGGGCGTTGTTGTGGGCGTTGGCGTTGTTGTGGGCGTGGTCGTTGTTGAAGGTGTGGTTGTCGTGGTTGTTGTTGTTGTTTCTGCTGTTGTAATTGTTGTTGTAGGAGCGGTCGTAGTTGTTACTGTAATTGTTGTCGGTGATGTAAAAGACCCGGCTGAATTTTGAATTATTTGTGCTGCTAAGCAAAATTTAGTTTTGTATTTTTAAAAATAGAAGCAGACAAGGAATGATGAAAGCACTGCAAACGAATGAGTAGTTTGAATTTAAAATGTAAACCTGCGGGTTAAGCAAACAACCTGAAATTACACCTGATAACAAGCAACAGTTATGCATATCCGAACAGGGAATCTTACATGGAGTGGTGGGTCTGGAAGTTGTAGGTATAGTCGTTGTTGTGGGTGTTGTCATGGTCGTTGTTTGGATGGTTGTAGTTGTGGACGTGGTTGTGGTCGTTGTTGTTGGGATGGTTATATTTGTGGGCGTGGGCGTGGGCGTTGTTGTGGTCGTGGTTGTAATAGTTGTTGAAATGACAGCTGTGGCTGGTCTGGTAGCTGTTTATAAAATGGGAACCTTATATTAGACATTTCTCATTTAGAAACATATCTAGAACTGAACGAGACATCAGGACTTCCCACCTTCGGAATACATGTTTCGAGACGGGTATATAGTAAACATATCAAATATTAACAATTTTCTATTCCATAGGAATACGCTTGTCCTACCTTATTCTCAAATTAAATTTCATCTTTATTTATCTTTTTAACATGCTGTACTTTAAAAGCCAGTGTTAAGGAGCGATGTCTTGGGAAAACATACCAATAGAACAAGATCCAATGGTTAAGATTCAAAGAGCGTGTTTTATTACAATTTAAGCCACACGTTACGAATTGGAAATGGTTATAGAATCCTGCCGCCCACCAAAACGAAAGAAAAGAAAGAATGCTAGACACTGATCTAAAAGCATAATTCACTAAAGATTTTACGTTTAAAGAACCTCTAACAAAACCATACTTCATGTTTTTGAAATATGTAAATCAGTTAAATCCGACAAATCAAATAAACAAAGGGGCAAAAACCTCAAGCACACATACGCAGCAAAAACCGGAAGCAGGTTAATTTCTAAGCTACACAAATTCATCATTTGTCAATACTAAATAGTTCGTTATAAAAGGGTAGCTATAACGACATCGACATACTCGGTACCAGCGTAGTTGTCGCAGTAGTAGTTGTAGTAGGCGTAGTTGTTTTAGTAGGCGTGGTCGTTGTAGTGGGCGTGGTCTTTGTTGTAGACGAAGTTGTCGTTGTCGGTGTTGTCGTTGTTGTCGTTGTTGTCGGTGAAGTCGTTGTTGTGGGCGTGATCATTGTTGTAGGTGTGGTTGTAGTCGCTGCGGGCGTGGTCGTCGTTGTTGTCGGCGTAGTTGTCGTTGTTGTTGGTGTGGTTGTTGTTGTTTTAAGCGTTGTTGTAGGCATCGTCCTCGTTGTCGTGGGCGTAGTTGTTATCGTTGTTGTTGGTGTGGTTGTCGTTGTTGGTGGTGTGGTCGTTGTTGGTGGTGTGGTCGTTGTTGTCGGCCTTGTCGTTGTTATAGGCGTGGTTGTTGTCGTTGTTGTAGGCGTGGTCGTCGTTGTTGTCGGCGTAGTTGTTGTCGTTGTTGTTGGTGTGGTTGTTGTTGTTGTAGGCGTTGTCTTTGTTGTAGGCGTGGTTGTTGTTGTTGTTGCTGCTGTTGTAATTGTTGTTGTAGGCGTTGTTGTTGGCGTGGTTGTTGTTGTTGTTGCTGCTGTTGTAATTGTTGTTGTAGGAGCGGTAGTAGTTGTTACTGTAATTGTTGTCGATGATGTAAAAAAGACACGGTTGAATTTTGAATTATTTGTTCTGCTAAGTAGAATTAAGATTTGCATTTTTGATTAAAAAAGAAGCAGACAAGGAATGATGAAACAACTGCAAACAAATGCGTATTTTGAATTTTAAATGTAAACCAGTGGGTTAAGTAACGACCTGAAATTACACCTGATCAAAACAACAACTATGCATACCCGAACAGGGTATCTTACATGGAGTGGTGGGTCTGGGAGTTGTAGTAATAGTCGTAGTTGTGGGCGTGGTCGTTGTTGTTTGGATGGTTGTAGTTGTGGGCGTGGTTGTAGTTGTGGGCGTGGTTGTAGTTGTGGGCGTGGTCGTGTTCATTGTTATGGGCGTGGTCATTGTTGTGGGCGTGGTTGTTATTGTTGTTGAAATGACAGCTGTGGCTGGTCTGGTAGCTGTTTATGAAATGAAACTTTGTATTAGACATTTCTCATTTAGAAACAGACCTAGAACTGAACGAGACTTAGATAAAAACTAAATTTTACATCAATTGTGATATACAATTCCCATTTTAAAAGCCCATATGATAGTAGTTTGATGTCATACACTACACATTGTTGATATAATTTACCAAAGGTTTAAGCCCTAAGTCGGGTACAGGGGAAATCTTTAGGAAACAAAACACAATACAAATAAAAGAATTTCAATAAGCATGAAACACTTATATAGCTCCTATACACGTTTTATCTCGGCTCCAGTCTAACACTTATATAGCCCGTACACAGTTTTATATGAGCTGCAGACTAACACTTATATAGCCCGTACACAGTTTTATATCATTTCCAGTCTAACAATTATATAACCCCTACACAGTTTATCTCAGCTACAGTCTAACACTTATATAGCCCTACACAGTTTATCTCTGCTGCAGTCTAACACTTATATAGCCCGTACACAGTTTATCTCTGCTGCAGTTTAACACTTATATAGCCCGTACACAGTTTTATCTCTGCTGCAGTCTAACACTTATATAGCCCTACACAGTTTATCTCTACTGTAGTCTAACACTTATATATCCCGTCCACAGTTTATCTCTGCTGCAGGTTAACACTTATATAGCCCGTACCCAGTTCTATCTCTGCTGCCGTCTAACACTTATATAGCACTACACAGTTCCCCCCTACTGCAGTCTAACACTTATCTAGCCCGTACACAGTTTACCTCTGCTGCAGTTTAACTCTTATATAGCCCGTACACAGCTCTATCTCAGCTGCAGTCTAACAATCATATAGCCCGTACACAGTTCTATCTCAGCTGCAGTCTAACAATTATGTAGCCCGTACACAGTTCTATCTCAGCTGCAGTCTAACGCTTATATAGCCCGTACACAGTTCTATCTCAGCTGCAGTCTAACGCTTATATAGCCCGTACACAGTTTTATATCAGCTACAGTCTAACGCTTATATAGCCCGTACACAGTGTATCTTTGCTGCAGTCTAAAACTTATATAGCCCGTACACAGTTTTATCTCACCTGCAGTCTAACAATTATATAGCCCGTACAGAGTTTTATATCAGCTACAGTCTAGCACTTATATAGCCCGTACACAGTTTTATATCAGCTGCAGTATAACACTTATATAGCCCGTACACAGTTTTATATCAGCTACAGTCTAACGCTTATATAGCCCGTACACAGTTTTATATCAGCTACAGTCTAACACTTATATAGCCCTGCACAGTTTATCTCTGCTGCAGTCTAACGCTTATATAGCCCGTACACAGTTCTATCTCTGCTGCAGTCTAACGCTTATGTAGCGCATACACAGTTCTATCTCAAATACAGTCTAACGCCTATATAGCCCGGACACAGTTTTATATCAGCGACAGTCTAACACTTATATACCCCGTCCACAGTTTTATCTCTGATGCTGTCTAACACGTGTATAGCATGTACACAGTTCTATATCAAATGCTGTCTAACACTTATATCGCCCGTACACAGTTTTATCTCAGATGCATTCTAACACTTGTATAGCCCGTCCACAGGTTTATCTCAGATGCTGTCTAACACGTGTATAGCATGTACACAGTTCTATATCAGATGCTGTCTAACACGTATATAGCCCGTACACAGTTCTATATCAGATGCTGTCTAACACTTATATAGCCCTACATAGTGTTATCTCAGCTGCAGTCTAACACTTATATAGCCCTACACACATAGCCCGTCTGGAAATCTTGTGAAACAACAACAAGAGAACACTGAAGATTTGCGCACAGACCCTCGAAAGAATTACAAGGAGAATAGAACAATATTTTTTAAGGAAATTAAGCAGCGGCTACTTCTTGATCGAAGAGTCCCGCATGTAAATTTAGGTCCATAAATGCCACATCCTAACATCGGGAACACAGCAAGTGACAACACAACTGCATCGCACTCCAATGAACATTATAAAAATACCGTACTTCATATCACACAATGAAACCACCATATAAAGAGATACGAGCAGTGTTAGGCAAACAAAACTTAACATTGGATGACCATAACGTTACTCGATATAAAATGTCATTGACGTTAACTCAACCTTTCAAGTAATGAGAGTCATGGAATGATGCGTTAAAAGCAAACTGTATATGGAGAAAGAAACTATAGCTTATACTGGAAATTTCTAATAAATATAAAACATGTGCTGCACGTCAAATGGAACTGACAGCATGACATCAATGTCAATGGAAACATACTTACGACAGTTAGTATCAATGGGAACGTATTTCCCAGTATGGTCATGTGCGGCTGGAATTAGACAGATATATTTCAGTAATTAGAAAGATAAATTTCAGAAACAGATACACATACTATCAAAGTAATTCAATGCGTATGAAATTTGTAAAGAGCAGGAATTGTTTCACGAAATTTCATCTTTGCTCATTTAATGATATCATTTTTTGCAATATAAAAATAATATTTGTACATTACAGATATTGATGTATGAAAATAACACAAATATTTATGTCAACATTTCAATTGAAAGAACTGAAAGTTTGACTGTATAAAATGGTGTAACATGATATAAAACCTTTGTGTGTATTACACCACAACCTCGTCTACAAATCCTAGATATTGTTGTTAATTGACACATTTCAAGCTAGATATTTGTAGCATGTGTTTTACAACACGCTTCCGTAAAGGTGAAAAATCATAAAGGTGTAGCTTTGCACAAAGTATAATATCGTAAACAATACTTGTTACTTCGACTCTAAATGATAAAGAATAGTAGTCGTTACACAGCTATTAAATATCATAAGGTAGTACTTACAAGGAGATACAGAGTATATACGTTCATTCAGTGGACAGTAGATATTACCTTGACTTATCACTCTTTAAAAGGTAACGGTGCACGCAGACGAAAAAACTATGATTCTTATACGGATTATTATTTACTAAGCATAGGAACAGCTAATACGAGCATCCTTTTTGTTTTATAGACAAACACGTACTGTCTAAGATATGAACAGTGGTTTACAACACACTCGTGCGACCTATTATAACGACTTTGTTTTCCTCAACCCACGTATCCCCCACTCAAGATACAGGACATGTTACTACACGCACGTGAGGTCCAATACGTGGATTGGGTTTTACACAAATGCGGTCTAGTATGTGGAGGTTTATGTTTTACTAGGTAGTCATACAAGTGGTGTATGTTTGGTCCTGGTTCGTCTGATAAACTCACTCTTATTAAATGGATCGTAGTTGTTGCACAGAGTTGAGTCACAGCATTTCGACAATAGCTGTATGTTAGAATGTTCTAGTTCTCTCGTCTCACGCCGTCCAATTTGTTGCGCGGAAACTGTTTGGGTCTGCGTCACATTACATTCCTTAAAACATCAATATACATGGCCACATGTAACACATGTAAGTATGAGTTATAGAGAAACATTATGCAAAGTTTATAAACAATATCTGGAATAAAATCGAAATAATATACCACAAACATGTTTTACAGAGACACAGCAATGTTTATCATACAAGGTCTGTTATGTAGAAGCACTTTTCAGGTATTCCACAATAGACACCTAAACAATGCTGTTTTACCGGTATCAGTTTTACTACCTCATGTATTTATTAAACACAGTAAAAGTGTTGGTATGACAATGTTTATATACTTGTAACTGCTAATAATGCATGGTCAAACAAAAAACATTTTACATTCTTCATTAAAAAATCAAACAATAAAATCGTTTGCAAGTAGCAAAAATGAGGACACATCAAAATGAGTAAAGTTGTGACAAGGAAAGCACAGGACAATGAAAATTCAGCAATATCGAAGGAAAAAGGATCAGACAATACAATATGAATAACACAATACAATGCATATTTAGCAGTGTCATAGAAAAGGAGCACATCATGAAAATACATTATGGCAAGTGGTAGCATGAATCATACAATAAAATGTAGATTTCCAGACCAAGAATAAACAATGAGCACTAAATTTGATCAGCAAAAAATAACAAACGATTGGGAGAATAATAAATGTGATGTTAAATCAATACACATATTCTTTAGTTATGAACCTTAATGGTATTTCCTACAGTGATGTAGTCTGGACTGACAGCTTTCAGATGAAATATGTTTGACACGTATAATCACTATATTTTCCAAGGAAGGAGAAGTGGCTGATGGTGAGGGTTGAACATATTTTGTCT